ACAACTAGACTTTTTCCACATTTTATTTCTATACAACAAGCAAACTTCAATGTATTTCACTGAGATTTTACATGGCAGAGTAACACACACTGATCCAAAACTGTAATGTAAAAATTATGCACTGTTAGGTCTTTTCAGGGTGTTTGTCTACCAGCTTTACTCATGCTTTGTTAGATTAGACTGGAATCACCTAACATCAAATTGTCTTGCTGCAGACTCTGAGTTGGAGTTACCCCTGGACTTTGACTGGGTCATGTTTTGTTGGAACGTCTTTCTCTGTGCCACAGTTGAGTTTTTTGAAGCCTCCAACAGGTTTATATCCGGTTATTTTGTATTTGGTTATATTCACCTGCACATCAACTTTGACCTGCCTTCCAGTTTCTGCCAAAGAAAACTATCTCCACGTCATGATGCTGCCACCTCCATGGGTTAGCTTGTGTTTGCGGTGCCCAGCATGAGTCCTGTTAGTGTAATAATCTTTAAATGGGTCTTTCAAAGGATTTCTTTCAACAACAACTTATTTCTTGTCACTTTCCTTTAAAGGCACAGTGTAGAGTGGCTGTCAGATCTTTTCCACCTGAGCTGCGGCTCCTCAAGTGTCTGATGCTTGGTATTTCCTTTCACTTCACTATTTTACACACTATGTTATGTTGGTCTGTCACAATCATGTTAGATCCTCAAGAGTTTCTGTTCTGTAACTTTCAGATGCATCTTTGCTCCAACACGCCTGAATCAAAAAAAAATCTTCTCAGAACTAGACGGTATCCTGAGCAGGAAATTCTTTCAGTTGTATTAAAGCTACATGTAAATATTATTTTAAAAAATAGTTTTTTACACATTTGTTAAACCTGCCTCTGTTGTGACAGTATCGTAGGAGACAGATAATCTTTGAAAAAAAAAAAAATCAAGATTCTCTGCCTTCTTGTTGAGCTACTAGAGTGATCTACAAAAATCATGTACGTTGTTTTTAACCAAACAATATATTTCTGAAGATAGCAAAAGAGCTTGATTTTTTTTTTTTTTCACAGATTATCTGTGTTAAACTATACTGGACGACAAAGTGTCAGTTTCAATAAATGTGTAGAAAAACGTTTTCATAAAAGTTACAGCGGGAGCGTCAAACCAAAGATGCAACTAAAAGCTGCAGGCCAACAGCTTTTGAGAACACGAGTTGACGACCTTGGTCTGTATATGAAATCACAATGTAATAAATTGAAGTTTGGGGTTGCGAAGCAACAAAATTCAATGGGTATGAATTTGTTTCAAGGCACTGTATGTATCGGGACCAAAATTAAATCTTTTAAAAGAAACTGAATGTTTACATGTCTCATATTGAGAAACTATGTTGGATGGGAGATTGGAGAAAAACTTTTGTCAATCTGTTATGTGGGTAAAGAATTACTACAGGTTACATGTGGAGCTACAGAGCGGTTTGTACGTTTCCCCTCAATGTTCCTGCTTTGTAACCTGATTCTTCTTGTCCCTTTGTTCTTTGTGGTATGATGGATACTGTGTATAAATAAAGTATGAAATATATATATAAATATATATATATAAATATACATCACAATGTCTTATTGGTTGTTTTCCTTGTGTGGTATTACTGCTCAAATGTGTTTGATTCTCTCCTTGTTCAGCAAAACAGCAAAAAGAACCAAATTTCAAAAGCTACATTTCTTTTCTCTGATCTTAAAATAACATCATATTTCCAGATATTTTATGAGTTGGATGGTTATGTTAGTGTGTAAAAACAAAACAGAACTTGGTGCTGTATTGACAGTAATTTTTTCATAATTTAATTAATATTTGTTTGGAGTCAGGTCATCTTTACATAAAACAAAGCCTTTACCTAAAATCTAGGAATTTCTCTAGTAATTTGCTAATAATACTCAGTCATTTGAAGTTGCAGCTGCTGAGTCTCTGTGTGTGTGTGTGTGTGTATGTGCGTGTGAGTGGGTGTGTGAGTGTGTGTGTGTGTGAGTATTCACACAATGAGCATCAAACGGCAGAGCAGGGCCAAGTAGCTCTCTCTGTCTTTCTTCCTCTCTCTCTTTCTCTCTGTCTGTCTCTCCCTCACCCGTTGGACTGGAGCATCGACACACTGCTTCATCATTTCCGTCAACTCACTGTTCTCCAGAGGATTTTATTGATCACTGGTGAATTTACCTCATTTTTCCATCAGGACTATTTTTTTTTTTAGCCGTGAGCTGCAAGATTTTGTGGTTCACACTTTACAAACAGGTAGGAGAAAACTGAACACTATAGTCATTGTGAAAAGCGTGAAATGCTTTTGGTCATATTCGGGATTTTAAGTGTTTTCACCTTGAACTCGTCAGACATTCTTGTTGAGTTTGCTGTTTCATTCTTGCTGTGCTGTCCAGCCTCTCTGACCTTAATTTTAAGTAACTCTTTTAGAAATGTGTTTCTCATGCTTCTTCAGCAAATAAAAAATAAAAAAATCAATAATACAGATGAAACAGAAATTTAGATACACCTTTTTTTCTCACTGTCAGAAGTTAAATCAAAACAAACTTCTATCATTTTAGGTCTTCTAGAAGTACCAAATTTATTTCTATTTGCTAAATGCCACAATAAAGAGCAAAATAATGTCAGAACATTTTTTATATACATTTTAGTGCTGTAAGATCATCTCTCTCTGAAATTCTTGTAATGTTCACCCTTTTAATATAAAGACATTTGGGGAAATTTCTGCGTCATTTGGTCATTTTAGCTCATTATGTGGTTGAATCATCTAATGATGATCCGGTTTTAGTTAATAGCAAGAATTTCTTTGATTATTATTTTGTATTTCAAAATGATTAAATACATTTTTCTGAATTACAAGGATGAGAACCAGGCCCACAGTATCACACATCCTCTACCCTACGTAATCCACTTTGAAACAAGCTCAATGTTTGTTTTTCAAATCCAGCTGAAATACATGTGGCCAAAAACTTCAATCCAAGTCCCTTCTGAATAAAACACCTCATTCCAGATAAATTTATTTTAGCTATCTCCACATGCTCATGTTCCTGATGGCTGACTTTTTCTTGGCATTCCTCTTTTAACTTGTAATTAACATCTAATGGTTTTGCCTCCCATTTCCTCCTGCTTGCTGTGAGAATAAAGACAAATCCTCGTCCATCCTTTTGTGTCCTTTAGTTGTGCTTTTAAAACTTTTTTATCTGCAGATATAAACAACTTTGCGCAAGTATGCATTTTCCTGTTGCAATTTCCTAGGTGAGGATGTTTATTATCATGTATAACTATTTTGTATAATGAATGCTACAGTCACACTTTACCAGAACTGTCAAAGGTGCCAATAAGTAGTTTTTTTTTTCTTAATATAAACAATTATTTCTTAGTCGGAGATTTGTTGTGTTTAAAAAAAACTTTGTTGTGTTTAAAAAAAATTATGAAAGCGCTTTAAATGTGGAAAAAAATATAGGCTTAAATTTTTGGAATATTGAATTTTCTGTAGTTGTTTTAAATGTGAACTATCTTTTATTCTGTTTATGCTGCTTTACAAGAGATGTCAATAATTGTTCATGCTAAAATTGCTGGTTAATCATTGGTAATGTGTTGGCTATAAACTGTATTCACTCATCACTTACAAACAGCTAATTAATTGGTTCATGAGCACAAGAAACATTTAATGCATTTTATTCCATTGTTTTGATTTTGAATGTTTTTAAAGGTCTATTTTGCATTCATTTTGAGACAAAATAGCTTATTTCTGGTAAATAAAGCAGTAGAAAGCATCCTAGCTGGGCTGGTCTGACTGAGTTGGTAATCACAGCATTCCCAGCTGGCACCCAGGTGGTGCAGGACTTTAATCAGCTGTCTTGTTTGCTTGTGATGATGCATAACAACAGGAGGTTGGGACCCTAAATCTACATAACTTTAAGGAGCTGCTTTATTTAAAAAAAAAAAAAAAAACACACATCAACTTTTGAGATGCTAATATCTCAAGTTGATAGATGAGTGTCTTTGGGCTGTTATGAAATGAACAAAGTTAAGGTTTAACGTATGTTTAAAAGTCCTATGTTGATTCGCACAACCCTCTCTTACTCTGTGCCTTAGTAAATCAGCCCACATTCATATGTGTCCCAGTGGGAGGTCTAAATTACCACTTTTCCTCTTCAGATGACGTCTTACTGTGTGATTCTTCACCCATATCTGCAGACTGATTGTGTCTGGGAGCGACTAGCTTCTACTCACTGGCTGAAAATGTCAAAAACGAGGAGTGGATTTTAAACAAAGTGAGCATTTGTATTCATAGTAGTCTGCGACATATTTCAGGTCTTTTAGTCTGGAGGCTCAAAAGGCTTCATAAATGGTTTCCATTTGATTCTTTCTTTCATGGCAGGTTGCCTGGAGTTACACAGGACATGAAGAGAATTTAAAAAGGAGAATAGATATGGCAGAGGTTTGCTCTCTGGCACATGACTGAAAACAGATCTAAAATAAACATTAAAGGTATTATTGATTTATGCCTGCATCGTTTCAGTGAGATTGCTTTGTAAGAATGGCCTGAAATGTCTTATGGGTAATTGAAAGACTTGGTGCTCATAGAGATTTTCATCTTCATCTTTAAGTCAGTGGTCTGTCATCTTTTCTGCTCCAAATTTTTTTACATTCATCGCTTTTTGCTCAGATGAGTTCACAGAGCTCGACACTTGCAGACACATGTAAAACTCTGAATGAATGAGATTGAGCAATCTTTTTTGAATACGTGTGTAAGATTTTATTATCAGTGCTGTTTTTCTGTATTTGTACATGGATAAAAACAAACATTTATTGTATGTAATCATGTGACCAATACTAAATTATTTTAATTTATTATTAAAAAAAGTTACATTCAGATTTTTTCCACTGATGCATTTTGAATTTTCCACAGCTTTCTAACATTCAGTCTCTCATCACTTAAACGCCTTCTTTGCTTTCTTCCCTGCAGGACCCAGTTTTTCTTTATTATTATTATTTTTTATTATAACAACCATCTTCTGGAAATCATGAGTGCGTGCAGCAGAAAGGCTCTGACTTTACTCAGCAGTGTCTTTGCAATCAGCGGCCTGGGGCTGCTGGGCTTGGCGGTGAGCACAGATTACTGGCTCTATCTGGAGGAGGGAGTTATCATGCCTCTGAACCAGACGGCTGACATCAAGACGTCACTGCACTCAGGTCTCTGGAGGGTCTGCTTTCTGGCTGGTTGGTAACACTAATATGCTTTAAGGAGTGATGCAGAGATTTGTGATGAATTTTGACAAATGAGCCGTCTGCTAATCAGGGCTGGTGAAAATGGATTTCACACTCTCACTCTGAACGATGTTCATCTTGTAACTGGGGAGAACTGATCGTGTCACACTGACGTTTCGTCACTCCGCTGACGCTTTGACATTTGTTTAATTGACAGTCACAGAGGCTGGACTCAGAAGAGGAGCGTCTGAGTCCGGTTTCAGTCACACGCTGTAATAGGAGGCGATTTCAATGATGCACCATACTACACATAAACAACAAGCTGTGCCACCCCACTGTGCCACAGACAGAATGATTCCAGCTGGACTCTGTATTACATCGACTGAGTTGTATCACATCCTCTCTCCACAGCATGCCATGTAATCCACACTTCTATAAAAATAAAAATACACTGAAGACACACAGGGAATCAATTTCCTATCAAGAGCTAAAGGAGAGCTTTACAGGAACTGAGAGCAGATGGATGATATTCTATTATCTGGAAAAAAAAATTATTAAAAAAAGTTACATTAGCAATTATTGTAGTTATTAGCAATTATTGGCACATCAAAATGGGAGAGTAAACTTAAACTGATTGCTTTTGCTGGTTAGCAGTGATTTAAAACATAGTTAATACATTTTCAACACGATTAATTTCATGTCATTCATATTGTTTGCAATTTCCTGATTAATTCATTTGAGACCAGTTTGTATGGAGTTATGGTGCAGCTGGGACACTGAGTTGGTCAAAATTTCAACCATTTGACAAAAAAATATCATGCCTAAAAGAAATGAGTAAGGATTAAACTCCATGATACTCACATAGAGAATCGAAATATCTTATAGAGACATTTTGGGCTCAAAAAAGACAATAAAAAGATACAATTATTTTTCACAACAGCTAAAAGAATGCTTGGAAGAGTCAAACGGAGGCTTTTTAACCTTAAAATACAGCAGCGGGTGTTAAACATGGCAGTGGCAGCATCATGCTGCGAGCTGTGAAATAAGTATAATGTACAAAGTGACATCAGCTGAATATTATTCATGTTTGAAACTGCATGGATCAGAGAAAACTATCATAAATTCATATTTAGGGACAAGTGTGTTAGAAATTGGATGGTTGGATTAATGATTGTGTTGTCATTGAAGTATTTAATTGTGAGATCATTCAACAGTGGAAAAGTCATAAATATTAAATATTTTAAATATAAAATTGCTTGACCTAATCTTAAGATTTGTAGAGAGCCAGTGCAAATGACAGCTCTTCTTCTGTTTTCTACTTTGCTTACCATCCTCTTTTCTCAGGTGAGGAATCCGGCCGCTGCTTCACCATCGAGTACATGATGCCAACGAGTCTCCAGCTGACGTCAGAGTCCACAGGAAATGTACTCAGTGAGTAAAACAGAAAACCGACACTTTAGGGAATTGCGTCCTCCTGGTGTTGTTCAAGGTAACCAGCTGGAGTATTGTTCTGTGACAAGAGTCATTCAGAAATATGTGATCTGAAAGCATTCTGACAAGTGAGTCATCAGAAACCTCCAGTTCCTGCCTGTTTCTCTTCAGAATACTTATCACTTATCATGGGGGGGGGCAACACAATCAACACAATCAGTGCAGCTGAGGACAAAATGTCAGAAAAAATGTTTACAAGCTCAGTCCAATAAAGGAGCAACTTATCTTCACATCAACATGAATGAAAACAATGCCCAATATCTTCTTTTCTCTGCTTCATCTTCTCAGAGATGATCCGCTCGGCGACTCCATTTCCCCTGGTCAGCCTCTTCTTCATGTTCATCGGTTTTGTCCTCAACAACATCGGACACGTCCGTCCTCACCGCACCATCCTGGCGTTTGTCTCAGGAATCTTCTTTATCCTCTCTGGTAGACGGATATAATTATTTGTCTTAAGTTTCTGAAGTGTTTTTTTTTTCTTACATACTGACCATGTTCAGGAAACGATTCTCTGTTTCAGGGTTGGCTCTAGTAGTGGGTCTGGTGTTGTACATCTCCAGCATAAATGATGAGATGCTGAACAGAACGAAGAGCAGTGAGGCCTACTTCTCCTACAAGTACGGCTGGTCTTTCGCCTTCGCTGCCCTCTCCTTCCTGCTCACTGAGGTACAAAAATGACAGTGAAATCTTTGCTTTGCACCATTTTAGCTGTGGTAAAAGTAACATACCATTGATTCCTTGTATGGCTATTTCTTGAAATATTGCAGAACTTGCAAAAATAGTTGTCTATTTTTGCACCTTTATTAATATTCAATAAGTTAATTACTCAGGAAAACGTACTGGACCATTAAAATAATTACATTTTATCCGTTTTTTCGATCTTTATCTTCTCTCTCCACCACTTTAAAACAACCCCTGCTAAAAATTGGTCAATGGGGAGAGTGACCTCTGCTGGTCAGAATGAGGAACTGTAGTGCTACAGCGTTTCACTGCTCTGATTCATGTTTTAAATACCTCCACGCTTTAAATTGACTGGATTTATATAGTATTGATACACAAGCTATTTCAAATCATTTCCTCTCTCCCACTGCAGAGTGCGGGAGTCATGTCTGTCTACCTGTTCATGAAGCGCTACACAGCAGAGGAGATCTACCAGGCTCGCCGCCCCAATTTCTACCGGCCTCGGCTCAGCAACTGCTCCGACCACTCTGGTCAGTTCCTCCACCCAGAGTCCTGGTCGCGTGGACGAAGCCCCTCTGACATTTCAAGCGAAGCGTCACTGCAGATGAGCGCCAGCTACCCAGCTCTCCTCAAATGTCCCGACTATGACCAAGTGTCATCTTCACCTTGCTGAGTCAGAAGAGGTTAATAAAAGGTCACTGAGCAATTTCTTAAAAAGTTAAGTAGCAAAGTGAAACAAAGGAGTTTCATTATATTGAAAAGAGACCAGCCAAATAAGTGAGTGTGACTGGTCAGAAGAATGACTGAGTCTTCTGACAAAGTTATTTCCTATCAGGAAAAAAAAAAGATTTCTTTGTAAATAGTCACAGTATGTTTGCAGCTTAAAAGCGTATGCTGAAAAGTTTTAATTTCGTAAGGATCTTATGTGACAGACCAGGGTTTTCAATCCAAAAAGACATTTTTACAGTCAGTCATGCTAATTAAAATTTATTTAGAGCCACAAATGTTACTGAATATAGTAAATTAATTTAAAGAGCCATAATCTTATTTCTATTTTTACCTTTAGCAATTAGCTAAAACATAACTTTCCAGCTTTAATGCGGTGTTGACATTTGCGGAAAATGAAATATTTGGTTGAAACATTAATTGAAAACTCGATCTATTGACCAATGTCAATAGATGACTCTTCTCTCTTGGCTACTCAAACACCACTGAGAATGACCTTCTGTGGTCCACAATGCAAAACTCAATGAAACATAATAAAGCTTGAGATTGTAAGGTGACAAAATATGAAAAGGTTTGAGAGTTAATTCCTTTTCAAAGTACTTAGTCCTTTGGTTGTACTATAGAACGCTCAAGGAGTATGGTGTGGGTAGCTATGTCTAAAAACATACATCACAATACTGTAGCATCCAGTTAGTGCAGAATATTAGCATTTATTTTACTTTTTTCCATTAGGAAAAATTATCTTTGTCCTGGAGACATGTGTAATTTGTGTGTGTCCTGAAATTTGTGTTAAATTTGATCGTTCTAGTTTCTGTCACATCTGTTGATTTTATTTGATTGCATTCTGTATCAGAAATATGTGTGGTATATTAACGGAAATTACTAGGGTTTTTTGTGTGGTGTTATTGAAAAGGTCAAGTATTTCCCATTTCAAACAGGAAACAACATTATTATGTTGGCAAACATTTCAGTCCTGGCAAATTATAGAAGTCTGTTTTGTATAGATGAAGCATTTTAATAACAGATATTGGAAATCAGAACAAGAACAGATGTTAATTACTGAATGTTCTATATGGTATAACTATTTTTGTGATAAAAGTGTGTAGCACACTAAATTATCCGGGTAATAAATGACTCAAGCGCAACAACATGCAATAGTCTACATTCTTGAGAATTAACAGGTGTAATTTACACTTCAACCACCAGGTTGCACATTTGACTTTAGAGTGAGTACTCATTTCAATGCCATGAACGCTTAGTTAACAACTTTATTGGCAGAAAAAGGGATGGGGGAGTCCTAGTTTTACAAATGAATTTTTATCACAGACCTAAACTTCAACTCCAAAATGGTTTGATTAGTGAATCATTGAGGATTTCTGACTGTGGCAAACTTCAATAAGTCACCTTTTCATTGCTCAACAGTAAGAGGGGGAATCATAAGAATAACAGAAATTGTGAATTTTTTTTTTTAACTTTTTGCATAATCATGACAGGTTTTGCAAGCGACAGAAATTATAATCTTAAAAGGTTAAATTGTGATTTTGGTTTAATCTGATTGTTTTCTGTGTGCCTGTTTTTCTTTGTTCTCAGTCCTTTCCAGTCAATTGTTAAAGAAAAAAATATTGTATATACAGCAGTGAGCCTTTAACAAAAATTATGGATGGATTATGGATGTGCTAATTTGTCAAATTTAGTGATTTAATTCAGTTTATTTCTATGGATGGATAATCTGCAGATTTGTCCATACCAAAGTCAACCTTGTGCAACACTATAAGTTGATCATTCCTTGCCAATTTAGCTGAGCAGTTTTCAAATTGTAATTTTAAGGAAAGCGCCTGTAGAGGGCGCCAGTGTCCCATGTCCTGCCCAATAAGTGTTTTTGCAGAAACACGACCGCTTTTTCCAAACAGATCCTGTTCTGCTTCCTGTTTGCTTACCTTGGCTGCCTTTAGTCAGCCACGTAGCAAAACAGTCTTTCTCTACACTTGAAAAGTAATAAATACCTTTCTGCAACGTGACTTAAAGCTCATTTATGCAAAGAAGTAGGTCAAGACCAGCATCAATAATGAATATCCCAAGCTTTATGTATACTTTATGTAGATACACGTAATGTACAACGTGACCAAACAGCTCTTACAGAGAATATAAAAATTAATGCCACCACATGCCCACTCGGTATGGGCATGTGACTGCAGAAGATAAAATTATGCCCTTATTTCACAAGGCCTACATTTTTATTTTACAATCACATACAAAACTATTGGTGTTTTTTGACATCTTCATCAACTATATAATCATCATCCATAACATGAAACATCATATTCACTATAATCTTTTCCATTTTTATAAATATAACAATCTTTTTCTCATTAGTCATGGCTTTTAAACAGCTTTGTCACAGTTGACCTAGATTCTCTTCATTACTTCTATCATTTTTATTTTATTTTATCAAATGATTGTTTAAGGCTTTTGCCAAGAAGATCCCAAACTTTAGCAAGATGCAAAAATGTTGGTGTGCATACAACAAAGACACTGAAACCTATACAATATATATACACATACATAACTTAGGCATACGTTATTTAAGATTTACAGGAAGTAATAATAAAATCATTTCACAAATAAAAATAAATACAAAAAATGATAGCTGATTTTTAAGAAGAAAATCTTAGAGGAACACAAAAGCAAGCAAGGATCAAATGCAAACAGGATCACAACAACACACTAACGTTCACCAACATATGCAGTAGAGAACTAAAAAAAAAATAAACTGGAAAGAGCTTAATTGGACTGGTACCAACTGGGCTGCTGCAGAGAGAAAAAACAAACCCTTCTTTTAGACCGAGATGGCTCTCTGAAAATGAAAGCGCTTTTGAAATTGTAATCTTTAAGATACTCCAGAAATCAGATCTCTTGATATATTTTAGCACCAGCTAATGCCAGGTATTGTTGATTATAATTTGTCTTCAAAGTATGAGCTAAGTAAGTTAAATGCAAGTTTAAGATGCTGCAATCGAGTGAAGTAGAATAGGTGTTTTTAAAGGGGCAGCTCTGGGATACTTTTCTAGGATCTCATTAAAAAGTTTGTAGACTACAGGGACAGTATAACAGAAGGTTGTTAACAGTTTTGAAACCAATCCTTTAATGCTACTTTCGTGCTGTTTCAGTGTGATGTAGTCTGTCATTTTTTAAACCTGGGGATCAGCTTGAGTAAATATGCAAGATTTTGTTGAACATTGAGTCCTATTGTTCCTTCAAAATATCTGTGCTTATTTTGTCAGACTCTTGTTTTATGTTGTGTGAAAACCAACAACAGCAGAAACGTCACTTCTGCCTGAAGTCACCATCTTGGCTATAATTAGTTGAATTAATCAGACAGATATTAATTTCCTAAGTTTCACTTTCATTGTTAAGGTTTCATTCTCATACTCCTGCTGCATAATGCTACATACTGTAACACGAGTATGTTCAATGTCATGATTGGGTCTTTGAATCACAGTTGCGCTGAATCTTCAAAGGTGCCGTTTACATGACAGGTGAGAGATGAAGAGCTTATATTTTCAAAATGTTCAAAATATCCGACAGCCTGGCTTATGTTGAGATCAAATTATGTATCTATGGTGATAAATGTGTTTTTCAGGCAATGTGGGAATGTGGTGCATCACGTTTTCCAATGACATTAAAACAAAAAGCTGGTGTCCAAAAATCTGATTGGGGAGTAAAGATGACAACTTCAGGTCTGAAAGAATTACATTTTGAAGTCTCATAGAAAAGCACCATTACTAAATTAAAATATAACAAAGTATGCACATTTCAAGTCTCTGCTCCCAAAGAAAAGAACATGGCCTATACTTTGACACCTTTTCTGAGGTTTCTCTGAGCAGGGCACCAGGAGAGACGAGCTCAGCACCAGAATGAGATGACACCGCGGTCCAGCTGTGGTTTGACTGAACCTCAGCCACCATCCCTTAAAAACATCCATCTGTTTCCTCCTCCTGTTTATTCTTCTAACCTCAGGGTTGAAGGCCGTCCACCTGAACTCTGTTTTTTTTACTTCAACAACGTTTTTTTTTAAAAGCACAGTGGAGGAAATACTTTCACACTGTACGCAAACAAACTTAACATGCACACTGCTGCACACACATACAAAACACATACATAGTTCTTTATAATAAGCCACATACATGCATGTGCACCTGAAAGATGGCAGTTGTGCTTTAGGGGGCAACTGAAACATGTTTAGATATGAGTAGGTGGCAGTAAATGAGATGAAGAGGACACAAACAGGCTGGTTCAACTGGATTCTACATTACAGTCGAGGTTTATATGTTCCCCTCATTTATGCAATGTCCAGGTTTGTCTTCAGGTCTTCAGTTTCACAAGTGAACCAGCTTAGCGCCATGCCATTTGTGTCTTCAAGAACCAAAAGAGAGGAAGATGGAGCACTTTGGAGCTCGACTTGATTGTCTCTCTTCACTTCTTGTTGGCGATGCGCCTCTTCCTGGTGGCCAGCATGTCGTAGAAGGGGTCCCTGCTAATGCTTGCCCTGGAGAAGCCAATCAAAGGACAGCAATCAAACAAACAACGCCACATGAGAGAAGGGTCTCAAACATCTTTGATATGGAAATGGGACACATTTATGCAGACCCCTGCCTTAACCAGATCATAAAAAGGGGGGGAAAAGTTTGCGCAGTGACCTAGTTAGGTTTCCATGGTTTCAGAAGATGAGCTCCCTCCCCATCCAGTTTTTTTTTTTCTTACTCCAATTTGGAAGAACCTCTTAAGAGTTCCCTCTTCCAGAACTCTGCCAGGAGAGCAGTAAAACATACAATCCCACACATTCTGTCTTTCTCCCCCGCAGGTTTTTTGGCCTCATTGGAGGGCAAACAATTGTCCTCAAGATTACTGAGTTTTTTCTTTCTTCCATAAAGAGCGTTCACGGAAAGGCAGAGTGAGTCAGGAAGCCAGTTGGGCTCTGCTGAGGAGCCCAGTTTCACGGCTGCTAAATCCTGTTAGCACCAGCCGCAAGAAGAGGCTAAACCCCCCATTGAGCTTATCGCTGATACTCTTTGTAACTCCACAGCACCAACAAGCATGCTGCAAACCATGACCAGGCCCCAGATTCGTAACGTTTACTGTCATTTCTAATGAAACAATTACTCTACTGTGGAGTGATCAAGCACATGCAAGGAAACCCTGACCAATTGTCACCCTCCACCCCACAACAGGAAACCCAATGCATCTAAAGAAATGACAAAGCTAAAG